AAGCAGTTGGGTGTGAGGTAGTGCTTATATTTGGGGCCTGATTGGACCTGGATGTTCATAATTCCTGAAATCTTCTCTCAGTTGTATAACTTCTTTAAGTATGCTGTGTAGAATGAAATTCATTTTGGATGGTGCAAGTTCTACAGTTGAGTGTTTTCAGTTTATTTTTTCCTTTACATATTATCTTTGAGAAAAATAATGAAAGACAAAGAATTTAGAAAACCAGCCATAAGACGTTATGCAATTCCCATAAGAATATGATTTTCTACTGTTATCAGTCGCGTCCCCAGAGGCACCACCGTTAGCAGCAGGGAGGCCAAAGCTCAAGTTCGCCTTCTCCTCATTTCTCCTTTTTCAATCATACTCCCAGGAGATCAGTGCCATTGGCTACAGATCAGTAAGGTACACTGAAACTTTGATAAAGGTGGTGTCAGCTTCTCCACTGAGTGGAGAAGCATGGTCCGTGGGTTTCTTGGTCAAGTGCAGCCCTGGGAGAACAGTTGTGGGTACCAAACAACTCATACCCTGGGGCTAAGGCACAGTTGCTGGAACCAAAGGTGAACCAAACCTGGCCACAAACTCAAAATGAGAGTGACAGCCAGTGCCCCAGCATTTAGGAGCTTTTTACCCAGTTAGCCCAACGGTCTAATGGGCATCAGACCCCCGGTGATTCTGCTTGGGTTGTGCTCAGACCTTGGCTCTGGCCCCATCCCATATTATTCTTGCTGCACCAGGTTTGTGTCTTGTCTCAGCCCTATCCTCAGCCATGACCTCAGACCCCTTCCTGGGCAAAGGCCTGACTCAAGGCCTGCTCTCTGCAGCAAGCCTGCCCCTTTTCCTTCCAGCTCTACCCAGCCGTGTTGCGTCCACAGCCTCCGCACTCCCGCACCACCAGGGCTGGGGGCAGGTGTGCGAAAGCCCAGGAGTGGTGAAGAGCAACCCACTGGTTCAAGGTTTCCCCACCCCAGCTGCTTCCTGTGCCCAGCAACCTCCAGAAAGCCTGGCACATAGAGAAGCCATGCACTTTTTTTTTTTTTATTTTAACATCTTTCCCAGTAATCTGCAAAGAAAAGATCAACAATGGGTAATTTTAGACTAGTTGGGTGAGCCGAGGTTAAGGTGCCTAAAATGCCTTAACTCTGCCAGATGGTTGAGGAATTGCAGCTCTTGGCTGACTGGGTGTGTTGTAGACTTACTTTAAGCTTGCCATAGTGCCTCATAAATTAGCACAGGACAGATGTACAAGGATCTGTTTATTGCTGCATCTGGGCTGTAAGATCAGTTGTTAAAAAAAATTGTTTTAAAATATAGATTCACAGGAAGCTGCAAACACAATACACAGAGGTCCCATGTACTTTTCCTTTAGTTCTTCCCCTCCAATGGCTACATTTTATATAACTCTAGTACAATTTCAAAACTAGGATGTTAACACTGGTACATGCCTATGCATAGTTCATTGTCATTTTATCATGTGTGTAGGTTCAGGTAACCACCACCACAATCAACAGACACAATTATTTTATCACCACAAAGATATCTCTTGTGCTAACACTTTATGGTCATGCCCACCCCTTCCTCCTCCCACCATCCTTAACTCCTGGCAACCACTGATCTGTTTTTTATCTCTATTATTTTGTCATTTAGAGAATGTTCTATAAATGGAATCATACAGTACATGAACTTTGAAGATTGGCCCTTTTCTTACTCAGAATAATGCCGTTGAGATCCTTCCAAGTTGTTGCATGTATCAATAGTATGTTCCTTGTTATTGCTGAGTATTATTCCCTGGTGTGGATATACCAGAATTTGTTTAACCCTTTGTGCATTGAGGGACATTTGATTGTTTCCAGTTTGGGGCCATTACAAGTAAAATAGACCATTTACATTTATTGTAATTATCAAAATATTAGAACATAATTTTATTTTTTGTTTTCCATTTTTTCCCTGATGTTCATTTCTCTGTTTTATTTTTTTCCTGCCTACCTATGCATTACTGAACAATTGGTTAAAATTCAACTTTGATTTAGCTATCATATTTTTTAGTATATTTCCCTAAATAAATTTTTAATAAAATTGCTCCAGGCCACAGAGGCCAAACACAACAGGTGACCAAGGTCACACCTGGCTTTCAGAAATGGTGATGCTTAGGTTAGTGTGAATAGGGATTTTGTTCTATTTGAAGAAAGAGAAAACTTGTGGCTTTCCTATGAAGTATTTTTAGGCTTAACAAAATTTCCAGAAAGTAAAGGTGACTGAGGTATCTTAGAGCATGAAGGAACATCAACATCAAGGAAGACTTGACAGAGAAAGAAATAAAACCTGGAAGATGCCTCCTAACTGGTCTCATCTCCAGTCTCTGCTATGTGCCACTTGCCAGCGTTTCCCGGCTAAAGACGTATCTAACTTGAGTGCATTCTGGGGAAAATTGGGCCCACCTCCTATTTATTCTCAATCCTGGTGAAGTTAAACGCACTTAAAACCCCTTCCTGAGACATGGGCATAGAGGGAAAGCATAATAAACAGATGTCATCGTGTACAGAAGCAAGCACTGGGCAGCAAGCCCAGGAGCGGGATGTTCAGGATGACCCCAGCGAGGGGAGGAGGCAGGGTAGGGTGCTGGGGGCAGACCCGTGCTGCAGCCCAAGAGCCTTCCTGGGGCACAGGGTCATCTGTGACCACAGTGCTTTTTTAGCTTCTCTTCATGGCCCGTCCTTTTGAATACGTAAGGGGAGAATACTGATTCTAAAGAAAAAGTGTCTCTCAAGGGGGTAGATTGAAATGGGCCGTATCCAAGTAACTAGTCACCACTCTCTGTCTTGATCATATGTCCCCACATGGATTCCATACCTCTTGGGTCAGGGATAAAGTGAGCAGGTGGGCTCCTTTATGGACATGCCCAAGACCCCGACAGACTAGGAGTGGTCTGAGATGTGGCATCTTGTCATGCGCATCTCAGACACAATTGCTCCCTCATCTTCAGAAGGGCTTGTAATAAATCATTTCAGACATTCAATGAAGAGAAAAATGTAAAGGACGGTGCTCGATGTTAGCAGGGATACAGGGAGATGGGTCCTCTAACTTGTTACTTGGTAGACACATAAATATGTGTAAACCTCATAGGAGCTCCTTGATGGCATGTATCAAAAATTATTTGCAAAAACACACCCTTTAACACAATATTTCTAATAATGAAGCTATGTCAAGGATATAATCCAAAATATTTTCAAACATTTTAGTCATATAGGCTTTCGTCACAAAACTATTTCCATAAGTGAAAAAATTAGAAATAACATAAAGGCTCAACTGTGACTTATACTTAGATATATTCATAAGAATAACTGTCCTGCAGATGTTTTAAGATGTTTTACATGGTTATTAAGACCATGTAAAAATAAGGCTTTCAAAGTGGGATAGAAATGACATGGATGCTATAATTTTAACTACATATAAAAATATATACAGAAAAATATCTAGTAAGGAAATCTGCCAGTATTATAGTTGGCTTACACCGTAGAATGATGGATACTTTAAACTGCTATATTTAATACCATGTTGTGGTTCTGTTACTTTTATAATGGAAAATAATTCATAAAGGAAAAACCAAAATGAAAATTTTGAATCTAGATCTCCCAAGATTTTAGGAGGAGGGTAAGGTTGTCGCAGCTAAGCGCTACAAACGGACATAAGCAGTGGGGAGCGAAGACGCCGCGTGCTGTCTGCATGGCTTGTGGCGTGAGCTAAGCCCGCTGAACGGGTGGCCGCTCCCAGTGCTGCCCAGTGACCGCTGCAGCAAACCTGCCACCGACACAGGGAGTCTTGGGGAAGAAAGCCTCCCTCAAGGTATCTTCCTTGAGTCTTTAATTTCGAACAGTATGAAGGTATGAGCGAATGATACACAGTGAAGCCAGTTATTCTGAGAATTGACTCTACTGCAGTCATTTCTACCAAAAAAATCTAGTGTGAGTGGCGACACTGTCCAGAGTCGTGTTTCAGTTTGGAAATGCTCCAAGCTCTCGTTCCTGGGGAACGCTGACTTCTGTTAAGTACGTACTCTATCTGTTACCTGTTTAAGACGCGTGACAACCCTTGGAGTTAGAGATGGTGTTATTCCCACTTTACAGACGAGGGAACCAAAGCTAAGTTAGGTGCCCAAGGACATGGCAAGTCAGAAGCAGAGCTGCCACAGACCTAGATCTGTCCAAATCCAGAGTCTTTGGCTTTTCTCTAAGCCAGGCCAGCCCTGCAAATCATGCAACCCTGATCTCCTAAGTTCCTCAGATGATGTTCTGCACCTTCTTTTAGCCAGTTTCTCCTCCACCTTGCACAAGGCAAGCCAAGCTCTCCCCAGCTGGACACGGTCCCTGCACCTAGCACGGTGCCCAGCAAGGTATTTATTTATCGGATGCATCAACCCATACCTGCCCCCATTCTTTCCTTACTCCCACGAGGGAATGGAAAAGCACTGGATATAGTAGGATGGAGTGCAACCTCATTCATTCACAGCCAGTCAAGGGCCTGGAGGTTTAGTCTAGAAGCTCCTAGAGCAAATTATGTAAGCACAGTTAAGAGAAAAAGATAGTACTGCTTTGGACCCCAAAAGCTATCTGCCAATACTTAATGATGACACCTTCCCATTTCTGTGGCTCAGCTCCATCCCCTACCTGAGACCAAGTGCCCACCTGCTCTGCTACAGCCATACTCTGAGATGTCTGACCTCTGAAGCCCAGACCCAGAACATCCCACGGAGCAAGCTCCACCTCTGGGAGCTGGCAGTGGGTTCTGAAATACCAGGGTGGTGAGAGTAAGAGTGTGTGGCAGCACTGGCTGCGCAGGTCACAGGCGCAGGCAGGAGAGTTCTGGAGCACAAGTGAGATGGACGGCCCTTTCCTGGGTTGCTGTCCTGTGTGTGTGGGTATGTGGGTGTGTGCATGCAGAGAAGAGAGACGTGTGGAATGGCAAGGAACCAACGGCCCTTTAGTCAACACAATCACAAGCCGAGGAAGCAGGGAAAGGTGTTTTATGGGCTTGACTGGAAGAGCTGTCACAGTCACAAGGGGGCCTTCAATCTCTTGTGGGTGCAGCCCCCTTCCCTCTTCCCTCCCTCCTCCTTCCCCTCCTGCCTCGGGGTTGGGACCGCGTCACCTCCACTCTTCCTGGGATTCCTTGGCCATGAAGTTGGGTGAGACCAGGTTGGAAAAGATGGCCTTTCTCGGTGTCATCAAGGCCGTGTTCTTGATCTTATTCAGCTTGTCCCGGGCACATTGGCATTTTTTCAGGCAAGCCGGACACAGATCCTTCTCCTCCACCAGATATAAGTTCTCCAGCCTTTTGATGGAATCTATGAATGTGTTCGATTCGTCTGGCTTTGGAAAGGGGTTCCGCTTTGTGTTGAGCTTTTTCAGCTTGGGGAGTTTGGAGATGCTCACAGGGATGCTGTTGAGCAGGTTGTCGTTGAGCCCCACCTCGTGCAGCTCCTTCAGGGCACCCAGCGTGGTGGGCACGCTGTCCAGGTGGTTCAAGCCCAGATTCACCGTGCGGATGTTCTTGAGCTGGTTCAGCTCCACGGGCAGGCCGTTGGTGGTCAGCTTGTTGTTGCTGACGTTGAGGAAGAGCAGGCTGGTCATCTGGCCGATGGACTCGGGCAGCTTGTCGATGTAGTTGCTGTGCAGGTCCAGCCACCGGAGGTTCTGGAACTTGGAGATGGAGTCAGGGATCTTCCTGATCATGTTCCGGCTGAGGTCGAGCTCGTCCACATCATTGAGCCGCAGAATACACTTAGGGAAGGTGGTGATTCCCATCTTGCTCAAGTCAAGTCGTTTTTTCCCATCGAACGTGATTTTGATGCAATTCTTGGCCACGTTGAAGGTGATCTTCTTGCCCTTGGGGGCTTTCGCGCCCTTGGCCATGTTCTTTTAGTAGGGGAGTGTGTTTGAAGTATGCTTGTGGATGTTGTTCTGATGGGATGGTGAAAGACCTTGGTGTGAGGAAAAAGTCACGTGAAACTGCTCGAAGATAGACTCTGAAGGAACACAAAAAACACCTAGTTAGGGGATGATGTAAGAGGACTGGACTTCCCCTGCATCATAAAGGCTTTGCTCGCCAAGGGTTTAAAAAGAGAGAAAGAGGGTGAGGGGGAGGAATCAGGGCGTTGGCAGAAGTAACCCAGCCAAGGATCCCCAGCAAATTGCAGCAGGGTCAGCCTGAGGGACCTTGACACCCGTCTCGCTGTGTGGTGCACACCCTCATTCGTGAATTCCGTCACTGTCCTGGACTTGCCGTGTGCCCCCAGCCAGAGCTGCACATGCGTGTGTCTGTGTGTGTGTGTGCGCATATGCGTGTTCTAGGATATCTGCCACTTCTCAGACCCGAGCATAAATCTAGTGTCTCCTTGAGTTATCACACAAGTTCCTGGGGAGGGACCGCTGAGTTCTTAGGCACAACATATGCCTGGAAATGAGGGAATAGGTGGGCATTAAGACTGACTTATATATCCCTTTTCACCTTGTAGACCCAGAGGGACTAGACAGGCCTTGGCTACTATAACCACAGAGCCCCAGGAGCAGTGCAGAAAAGCCTGTTGCTCGGCCCAAGAGCATCAGGGTGTCCCCTGTTCTTTTTGGTTCTGGAACCATTTTCCAACAACTCAGTGCCTCTTGCTTGCTGATTTTCTATTTTTGGACCAAGAGTCCCAAAGCAGGCAGAAGCATGCTGCAGGAAGACAGACGCTTGTACTGCCTCGTTCCCCGCAGGTGCAGACCGGGAGGGTGCTCTATAGTTCCTGTGCTCCATCATCCAGGCCTTTATTAGGATCCAGGTTGATATAACACAGGAATGTCCGGCAGTCAAGCTGTTTGGGGCTATCGTCACATGTTTTCCTCACCCAGGAATCCTCAGTATGCAAGGGAGATGTGTAGAACAGCCTTTCTCATGCTTACTGTAAACCCACCATCACCACCCTTAGGCAGAGGTCAGAGGGTCCCAGCCTATGCGAGTCCTGCTGGGTCCCAGCCTCCTGGGATGGACGGTGGTCTCCATAGCAAACCAGTGAAAGAATTCTCAGCTCTCAGCAGCATCAATGTTCTTTGCACGGGCCTTGTAAGCTGACCCTATGCTTTAGAAATCGTGAACGTACCACATTCAGGTGTAAATGGCTGGTTACCCAAGACAGCACTATGTTCATCTGTATGGAAGTTTCTATATCACTCAGCGCTGAGGATCCGGATAAGATAAAGCAACTTAAAAAAGAAAGCTGGCATTCCAGTTCCCGCTGAGATGGAGTAAGCGCACTCTGTCCTGCCTCACCCTGAAAGCAACTAAAGACCTTAGGCAGGTACGTAGAGGAGCAAGCCAGGATCTGCAGACAAATGGCATCAGGCAGTTCGGAGAAGAAATCCATAACCGTGATACCACTCTGGCAGCAAGTTTCCTGAATCTTCCCTCCTCCCCTCAGCTATATCCCTTGGCCTGGACTCAAAGACAGCCCTGAGCACGAAACTTTGAACCAGGTAGGGACAGGGAGATTTCTGATTTCTAACAAGAGCCTCTCGTCTTGGCCCAAGGAGCAGGAAAGGGAGCTTTAAGGGTCAGAGAGAGTGAGGGGATCTGGATCTTGCTCTATTTGTTCCCCCTCCTCTCCTGCCTCGGCCCGGGCAGTCCTGCATCCTGGGGTCAGCCAGGCAGACGCCTAGCAGCTGAGGGGGGAAACCATTTTCTCTGACCAAACTGTGGTCCCTAGAGCCTGCAGGTTGCTTTGTTTCCTCCACCTTACTGCCACTTGGCCCTAGAGGCAGAACCGTGGCAAGAAGTGTGCAGTAGAGCTACAAAACAAAATCCCTGCACTTCCAGTCCAGAGACCAAGGAAAGGGGGAGGGCAGAGGTACTTCTGGGAGCCAAAATGTCAGGGAGATTGCAGAGAGCAGGGAGTTCAAGAAAAGTGATTCACAAAGTTGTTATGAACTGTGGACTTGCCCTAAACTGCCTTTATTTTGATGGCCTTTTAAAAAGGCCTGCTTTAAGGGAAAAAATATATATGGTCATGCACTGCATAATGACATCTTGGTCAACAATGGACTGCATCTATGACGGTGGTCCTGTAAGATTATAGTACTGTATTTTTACTGTACCTTTTCTATGTTTGATACACAAATACTAACCATGTGTTACAGTTGCCTGCAGCACTCAGCACAGTAACATGCTGTGCAAGCTTATAGCCCAGGAGCAATAGGCTGTCCCATACGGCCTAGGTGTGTAGTGGGCCACCCCATCTAGGTCTGTGTAAGCACTCTAGGATGTTTGCATAACGACAAAATTGCCTAGTGAACACATTTCTCAGAACGTAACCCTGTCATTAAGTGAAGCATATCTGTGTGTGCACGTGTGTGCGTATCTATATCTATGCCTCAGAAGGAGTGGAAAAAGTTGTGCAGAAAAATATTTGAAGGAAAAACAGCTGAACATTTTCAAAAGTTGGTGAAAAACATAAAAATTATAATTGCAAGGAGCTCAGCGAACTCCAAACAGGACAAATGAACTCAAATAAATTCATACACAGACACGTGACCCCATTACTCAAAATTAAAGAGGAAACTTGAAACCTTCCAGAAAAGAATAATGCATCACCTGCAGGAGAACAGCAAAGCATCAGCTACGGGTTTCTTATCAGAAACCATGGAGGCCGGGGATACTGGAAAAATAATTTTTAAAGTGCTGAAAGAAAAGAACGTCAACCCAGACAGTGAAAGTATCCTTTAGGAATGAAGGAAAAGTAAAGACATTCTCAAATGAATGAAAATAAAAGGTTTTGCCACTAGCTGAGGTGCTATAAAAGAAATGCCAGAGGAAGTTCTTCAGATGAAAGGGGAGCCCCACTAAAGAGAAACTTGGAGCTTTGGGGATCAAGGAAGAGCCGTGGACTTGACAAATATCTGGGTAAATATAATAGACTATTCCTCTCCTCTTAAGACCTTTAAAACATGTATGCAGTTGAAAGCGAAAATTAAAACGTTGCCTGATGGGGTTGTCAAAGTATATAGATGTAATACGTTTGACAACTACAACATAAGGGGGGAAGTTAATGAGACCTGTATGGTGGTAAGGTTTTTATATTGCTTTTGAAGTGGTGAAATATTAATTCTGTGAAAAGTTAAGAATGTGTATTTCAATCCCCAGAGAAGTCACTAAGACAATATACAAAAAGATATAGTAAATCATAAAAAATCATATATA